TCAGGCACTCCCGTCTGCTGCCGAGTCCAGTCTGAAACTTTTTTGCTTGGTTCCTTGGGACCTAGTTGCCATCTGGAAGGTGCACATTCAGTATTAACATATTCTCTTGCATCTTTGAAAATACTTAACATACTTGTAGGTATCTGTATTTAATTTCAACATCTTCATTGTTAGAATTATTTTCTTTTTTTCCTTAAACTGATTCAAGTACTTCTTCAGCCCCAAAGTCGATCTCTCTGATCCCCCCTGTTATCCTCCCCTGGGCGGGGAGTATCTGTCACAGTTTAGTGGCCAGCTCAGCCAGATTTATTACTGCCTAACACGGGGGCAGACTAGGGGACTGTCAAAATGAACTCAAGGTGTTTTGCAGAGTTCAGAATATTCTGTGAAAAATAATTAAAGGTATCTTGTCAAAGAGGCACAAGGTTTGAAAATGCTAGTCATTTATGCTTAGTTGTAAGAATGTATCATTTCTATGGTCTAGAATCGGTTCACGCTGCCGTGGTGTCAAAAAGTTTTGAAAAAGTGTACGGGCATGGAGAAGTAGTATATGCTATCAGTTATTTCACATAGTTCTAGTAATTTTATTAGAATTAGTGTATCTGTGGGGAAAAATGAGTCCAGGATACATTGCCAGAATCTTAGTAATATGAAATTATTTCTAAGTCATATTTTCTCTAGTGTCTTTCTTCCTAAATGATGTGTTTATACATGAATAGTTTCTCAAAATAAGATGCAAAATACGTTAATGATTATATATCTGTAAATGATCTATGAAATTAATGGTTTCTATGTAAACATGTACAGACATTAAACTTCGTAACATACACTTCCACAGTGACACACTGTAATGATCCAATGATGGTAACAACATTTTACAATGAAAGGAATATTATTGTAGATACATGAATCAGCAAAGCTTTTCTATCTGTTAATTTTATATAGTAAAAATGCATTGAAGTTTTTTACAAGTTACTAATGAAAACTTTGACCACAAAAATATTTGTGGCTGAATATGGCAACATATGCTGAAATGTACTTAAGAACTCTGATGTCATTTTGGATTTTCTCAGTATGGGATCTTTACAACCTTGGTATTAATTTGGAAAATGGATAATCTCATCCAGAAGCTTCCATGGAGAGAAATTATGTCAACTACTTTTAAGACCTTGCTAGCTAAACCAGGATTTTATTTAATCAAATGAATAGTCAATGTGGGGAACATGCAATGTCAATAAAGTAGACATAAACTTTTAAGAGAAAACCTAAGCTCCTTTCCAATATCTTACTTTCCGTGAAACTCTAATTCAAATTTTAAAAAGTATTACAAAGTTTAAGAACTGTGTTTGACACGCCTTCCTAAGGCACAAAGCTATATAATCCAAATAGAGGGGAACAAATTAAGCATAAATGAGATTAGGAGAGAAGCTGCAGGTCTTAGGTAAGTGAACTCATCTGTTGCTTGACAAAGTCTGAGAAAAAATGATTCTATCCCAAGAAGTTCTGCCAGAGTGTCACAATAATGCATAAGGAGAATAAATGCAGTGACATGTTCCAGAATTTTTTTCTGGAAGAGCTGGAACATGAGCTGACATCTGCTCTATCTCCCATCACCTCAACACATATTTGCTATAGCCACTCCCAAGAGGTATTTGCTGTGCAAATGGGACAGCTAGATCCTTAAAACTATCATGCTAGGGACTGCAGGAAGACACAGGGACATTTCTCACAGGTCCCATGAAAACTGGACTCTACATACTGAAAGTTTCCATGTGATCCTGTCCATGAGGTTTAAACCTCAAAGTAGGTGTTAAGTATTTCTAAGTGTCTGGTTGCTCAACACAGAGAATGCCGGGATTCATCTGCAAATGAAGCTACTGAAAAAATACATTACAAACACAACACTGCATAAATTATGCGGCAATCTCAGATTCTAAATTAGCAATCTTTATCTTAATTTGTGTTTATTCTCTCTTTACAGTGAGGAAAACTGCTCAAGGCAATTGTGAAAACACTACTGTCAGTGTACAAGTTACTGAAAAAGGTCTGAGAAACAGAGGGATTCTGCCTTTAGAACAGAATTGTATACAAAAAAATACAATGTGTGACAATGTATACAGAAAATCAATGTATGATACAATATACCCTAATTGTACACTTAGGATAAATTTGCCCAAGAAAATATTTATGTGTGTATTAGTCAGGACTCTTGGGATTGTGCAAGAGTGAAGTCTTAAAATATGTGATGAGGTAACCAAGGACCTGGTAGCTACAAAAAGGTTGAATTAAGGCTACACAGGCACATTTCATTGTGCCCTTTGCAAACTTTCTGAATGTTGAACTTAGCAATCATAATGTATTTTTAACATCGGGCTTTTGTGGTGTATGTATTTTAGAAGAAAACTCTGTTAGAGAGCACTTACCTCAGTTTACTTACTGCATAAGACAACTGGAAATATTCATGGCTTTTGGCCCAACTGTGACTGTACATCTCAAAGAAATAACTATCTGACTTTTCTAGTAGAGGTTGCATGACAGTAGTAAGTTAATCTGAAGCACTGTAAATATGCAAGAAATCTCTGTACAAGAAGATTGATAGACACTATACAGTGCATATATAGGAATGTTTGTTTAGTAGAACAGAAAGATAAGGAGACAGGAGAGGATCAGTGCTCCAAGACAGTCAAATATCCAGAGCTAAGCCCTTCAAACTGTAGTGTGTTTTTTCATTAAGAACATCTGTTTCCCAGTAGGGAGCGTTGGCTGAGTTTATCTTGGGAAAAGAGCAACAGCATCAGGTCGCTGCCTTAGCATTATCAGTTTGTCTGATGATGTCTGATCAAGTTTGTTTTGTAATATCTGGTGAAGACACCAGTACCCACTTCATTACTTATTAGCTGCAGGTTGCCAGGAACAGCCTCCATACTATTCTACTTGAATCTCTACTGGCTTACAAGTAAGTACATAAATCTGTGAAATCTCATGGAGATTTAAAAACATAACAAACCACTTACCCAACATGTAAGAGGCCTAGAAAATGGAAAATATTACATCTGAGTGGAAAATACTCCCTTAAATAATGAGATTCAAGACACAGCAAAACAGCAGACATGTACATTTATGAGTTAAGCAAAGTTTCTAAAGGTAGCACACTTGATACAAAGGAAAATGATTTATTTATTTTTTTAATATGGTCACATAGATGGTGAAAAATTAAACAGGTAAAAAGTAAAAAAGCTATATACTAGCCACAGCAAAATGTATTTTACGTGGGTTAAAGTACCGTCTCTTTCCTTCCTAAAGGAAATCTACACATTTCGCCTACACTGCAGTGCTGTTCTCAATAAGTAAACCATTAAAGAAAGCTCTGGGTTCATTCTGCTCCTTGAAAAATAATATGTCTTGGCAGAACATAAAATAAATAGGTTGCAAGTTCATCTAGTCTAACACCCTACCGAAAGCAGGGCCAGCTTCCATAAGATTGCTCAGGGCTGTTTGAGTTGTTAGTATCTCCACGGATGAAGATTTCAGAAGCTCTTTGTGTGCCAGTTCTAGGATATGACTGCCTTCACTGTCAAAAAATACTTAAGATGCAATTGGAATTTCCCTTGTTGCATGATGCTTTTGCCATATTTCTAGATGTTGTAAATACCGAGTATTCAACATACAAAAGCAATGTTCTATTGGCTATATTAAAAAAATCATATTATTTGAATTACTGTGATTATACAATTTTTACCTATTAAGAATTTTTTTCAAAGGATGTCACAGAAATTTGGAGCCAAGTTAATGTAGTTATTTCTATAGGACAAAAATTATTCAGTAATGGCAAAATGGCTCCCATGACTTTCTCTATTTCTCTATGTTGAGATGAGGTACCAATGCATACTAAAAGTTCTGCCAGACAGAAACTAAGCTGGCCCATACTAAAATTCTGCAATTCATCTTATCCAGTTTTAGACATCTAATAGTCTGATGTTTAGTTTAAATTATTAATGTTTATCCCATCCAGAGGCAAAAGAGAGAGACAAGACCTATCAGGGTTACTCAGGTTGCCTCAAGCTGCTTTCTGCAGTTACAGAATGTGGCTTGACATCTGTAGCCAATGCTATGAAATGTAGTACAATCTGTCTTTAAAAAATGATGATTCATTTTAGCAGCTACTGGCATCTTGTTATATGATGGCTCTGTTCTTCCTATTTCATAGATTTCGTTTTCACTTCTGAAAATCACTGAGAAGCTCAAGTGAACAGTTAAAGCCTCTAATTCTTACGTTCATGATAAAAATATTGCTCGGTTTAGGTGCCTCCTATAGCTAGATGTGAAACATTCATTATGGGATCTTTCAGCATGAAACGAAATACATTAAGGTTCACTACAAGACCTTCATTGCAGTTCATTACAGAAATTTTTCTTGTCTTTACCCAGTATATTCTGCTGAGATGTTACCGGGGGAAAGAGTAGTTATCTCCCCTGTGTGTAAAAATACTCTCTCAGGTAGGTTTCAGTTCTAGTATCTAGTTTTATAAAGGTGGACAGTTTTAAACCACATTTATCCACCTTTTGCTATAAGGTGGCATTGCAGGATACATTAACAGGGATAGTAAGGGATCAGTTTAATACTAAACCCATGCCATATTTCTCCACCAAATGCCCTCAAATTTCACACCCAACAAATACCTTTTACAAAATAACTAGGGTTGTTGGCCCACTGGTCTGACTCATGGCAGCCAGAACTTTTGAGACCACTCTTGAGAAAAAAATTCAGACTTCTAAACTGTAAGGATATTAGTGACATGAGTTTGATATGACACACTCGTGTAAGCATGATGATAATGAAACAGGAATACATCTTCTTTATCAGTAACTGAAAAGCTTCATTTTACGCTTTGGTACTTTGTCTTTCATGAATAACCCTGCATGCTCAAAAAACATGATTTTTTGTTGTTTTTGTTTCTTTTTTTGAAAGTCAGCATCTGTACATTTGTGCAATTCAGTACCTTTCCGATGAAACTGCAGTGATCCTAGCAGACATATGGACTTAAGCATTTCTGTTGTGTACATTTCCAAGCAACACTGCAACTGGATGTATAGTCTACAGATTTCAGGATGAATTTCACCATCTTCTGGGCTGCAGTAAAAGAAAAAAAAATTAGTTAGGGATGGCACTGGAATGATGAGAGGATGGTCAAACCCGCTTCCCTACTGTTGAAAGTAACCACATTATAATCTGCTTCATAAACTATTAAGCTATGTGGACATGACAGAAAACCTGTTTATACCAAACAGTATTTACAAACAAGTCTTTTGCTCTATAAAATTGTAGACTTAAAAGACCTATACCCGGTTATCTTTGGTAAGATTGCATATCCTTATTTTCTCCTCTGCATATTTTTCGACACAGGGTAAATAAGTGACTGAGATTTTTTCTCCTTTTTAAAAGCTTTGGGTAAGTATTTTCTGTTAGAGTGAAGTGTTCTTTTGACATCCAGTTTCAGTTACCCTTGCTCCTGGTGCAAATATTTGCAGGGCCAGTTTCATAGTCTCTCATAGCTCAGGTTACAAGTCCAGGCATAATCAACCCTACTTTGAAGACACTTTAATCAGAATCAAGTCAGTTGTAGTCTTTTGGTTCTATTTTTTCTCTCTGCCTTTTTTTTTTTCCCCTGTGCTTAAGTTAGTAGTCATGAAATTAAGAGTAATCCTACATCTCCAATCAATTACATAGGACACTAATAAAATAATTTACCCAGATCCAAGAATCAATTCTCATGCTTGGCTGTAAAACTAGACATCACAGAATCACAGAATCACAGAATCACAGAATCACAGAATCACAGAATCACAGAATGTCAGGGGTTGGAAGAGACCTAGTCCAGACCCTCTGCCAGAGCAGGATCACCCACAGTAGGTCACACAGGAACACGTCCAGAAGGGTTTTGAATGTCTCCAGAGAAGGAGTCTCCACAACCTCCCTGGGCAGCCTGTGCCAGCGCTCTGTCACCCTCATAGGGAAAAAGTTTTTTTCTAATATTTTTGTGGAACCTCCTGTGTTCCAGCTTGAATCCTTTGCCCCTTGTCCTATCATAGGACGCCGCTGAAAAGAGCCTGATTCCATCCTCCTGACACTCACCCTTTATATATTTATAAACATTTATGAAGTCACCCCTCAGTCTCCACTTCTCCAAACTAAAGAGACTCAGCTCCTTCAACCTTTCCTCATAAGGGAGATGTTCCACTCCCTTCATCATCTTTGTGCTCTGTGTTGGACTCTCTCAAGCAGTTCCCTGTCTCTCTTGAGCTGAGGGGACCAGAACAGGACACAAAATTCCAGATGTGACCTCACCAGGGCAGAGCA